CCCCAAAACCCCAAAACCCCAAAACCCCAAAACCCCTCACAGGATTATAAATATTGAAACCATTGAGAAATGGGCTGTTCAGGAAGCAAAGCTAAAATCCCAAAATCGGAGTATTCTAGAAAGAAGAGAGTGACTAAAAAAGCTCCCAGCCAAGCTGTAAATGATGGATTAGGCGATGATAGTGATAATTCACCAGTAAAGCATAGGAGAGATTCGAATCGTAAACAATTAGGGTTATGTATAGACTCTGAAGACGTAAAGCAAAATAAAACCGAACCCCCAGAACTACTCAGCTCTGAAGATAGCCAGAAGAAGCTTATTAAGCTGTTGAAATAAATACAATATTGAAAATGATCCCATTCTAGACAAAAATTTCTCCCTCTATTTAGACTTTGAGAGAGACTATGACGATGTAGTTGGTTTTGTTGAAGAAGCCCAGGACTGCGCATTCGAACATATCAGGAGTAAGCAATTCATCATTTCATCTTTTAGGGCTATGCTTACTTGGATTGTACGAGCTAGGGATCAAAGAAATGGAGTTGCTCAACCAATTAATCCTCAATTCTGATCTGTCTTCACTAAAGTTGCTTTATATGCATGGAGGATCTGAGATGGGAACCACAAAAATAGAAGAGCTTCTTTCTCCACTGTTCAAGATAACCACAACGCAGGTTTACATGGATAGCTTCAAGCTAACAGAGAAGGATATGATGATAATCTTCAAGAACTGTATTAAAGTGAAGGAGCTCTGTTTGGTCAATTGAAATGTTTCAAACCTTGGTGAAGAGTTTGAGATTCCGACAAACCTGAATTTCAAAATGGAATCGCTTGACTTATATTGGACTTGCAATCAAGGTGACGATGATTATCTCGATAGTCGTAAGACAGAAGTACTTTTTGAAACAATCATGAGGTCAAAATTGAAGAATACTCTTGAAAGAGTGCATATTTGAGAAAATGAGTTTGATGAAATGAATCTTCAAGAAATATTAGATAACTGCGAACTTGATTGTGAGGTAATAGCAGATGAGATCACTCCTAAGCCTTTGAAATAAGCGTTCATATTGAATTCGCTCATAAATAAAATTCTTGCTTCAATCTTGAATGAAGTGAACGGGGTTTTGGGGTTTTGGGGTTTTGGGGTTTTGGGG